TTCAATACCAACAGTGGGCTCTGGGGTAATGAAGCTATGGATTAACCGTCTATATATGTTTTTCCTTTCCGCTATGGACAACAATTCCTCAGAGGGGTCTAACCCGTCAATCGAAGTAAATCCGTGCTGATGTAGCTGGAAATTTTAAGAAAAACATATAGGCAAATGTACAGATAGTATAACGCACACGGTTTATTAGGACAGATAATTTAAAGAAACTGGGAAGAGGCGTAAAACTCAAAGTCTCCAATACGTATTTTGAAATCAATAAAAAGTATACAGGGGCAGATCCAGGATTATTTGAAGGGGTGTCAGCGGATGCAAAGCAGCCCCCCCCCCCCCCTCCTTGGCGTGGGGTTCAACGGGCCCCGATAATTTTTGGTAGTTTAGAGGGCAAACGGTGCCATTTGGTACGGTTTAGAACTATGATTCAGCTAGTCAAAATTCTAATTTCAAGGAAGGACAAATGGTGTGATTAATTCTTCAGAAATCGAAGAGGGGTGGGTCAGGACCCCCTTGACACCCCCTAAATCCTCCACTGAGTATATTACATAGAAGAGTATTTCGGTAACATTGGGATATTCACTGTAATTTTCAGTTGATCTTAATTTGACTAATTTTAGCTAAAATAGTCCAGCTGTTTAAAATATGAAAAGGGACTTCTGGTTCATTTTTGTGATAGAAGCACAAATATTTGCACGGATTTGTCTTAGTGCTCATACCATATAAAAGGGTTTCTCCTACCTGTTCTCCTACCTTCCCTGTACCTGCCGCCACATCCAAAACGAATACTGCTCTTCGTTTGTGCTTCTCGAAATACGCTGCCAGAGTACTAGTGGCTATTGCTGGTCCGTTATAACATCCAACTAAGCTCTTGGTGTGAAAGAGAAGAATGACTTACCTCTTAAAAGGACAATAATAATAACACGCGGGATTTTCTTTGCTTTGAACGTTACTATTTTCTTTTATATAACCTGTACTTCTGTCAGATAGCACGTATCATCCTTATTATAAGTAGTGCGTGGTGGTTGGTAAGTAAAAAAAAAATGTTGACAACCCCAGAAAAGGTAAGGTTAGCTGGTTGTATTTTCCCCTCAACACATTTAGACGTTTCCACAGGGTGTCTGTTCGTCTTTACTTACCTACATGTTGAAATACGATGCTTGGGCATATTTAAGCGATATGAAATACTGGGACAAACCTGTTCCGGTTAAAATGTTTTGTCTACAACATCAAATAACGTATTACTGAAATAGATTACTATTATTAAATCACCCACTTTATCATAATTCTCTCCCCATTCATCATAAACTCCAACCATTTCTTCTGGACTGATGCCTTTTTGGTGTGCCATATTGTTGGTGTTGTCTGCAAAATTACTATCGCAAATAGTTTTCGCCATTTCTTGATCAGCCCTGGTAATCAAGTATCTTTTTTATGATATACCGCAGAGAGTTGCAATGATAACACTGGTACATAAATGGAAATGTTAAGGACGTGGCTCTTCAACCAGTCCGACCAATGGCAAGACTTACGGCTCATTCCCGAAGATATCGATCCAACTCCGCTGGGATTCTCGCTGAATGCAATCAGTTTAAAAGATTAACACGCCTCCTCTTGTTTCCAACGAACTCGTATAATTACCAGCTTTTCTACATTCTACTCAAATCCAGGAGGAGGTGTATCGTTCAGTTAATCTGATTGCATTCTGTGCGAGTCCCCGTGGAGTTGGATCACTATACGTAGGACGAAAGTATCATTGGGAATGAACCCTTACATTCCCATGCCATATTTCACTCTATAGACCTCGGCTGGTGAGTAGAAATGTCATACAGGGACGTCACGTACCAATGCATCCCATGCCTCACTGCTCTCCCGTTATGTAACTTTACTATACTCTCTGACCACAGGGTCCGCTTGTAGTCTGCTACAGATTTCTTGTATCGGATCCTGTTGTTGGAACTGAGATGGTCAGTTGGAACGTGTTTCTCGTCAGACATTTGTATTTGTCAGTGGGGGCAATTTTACACCTAAGTGTTGAGTACACACATCCCTGTCTACATTATGTAATGACGTAAGTCAAGCATAAAAGAATTACTCCAAATGCCCAGCTGAGTGATTACACGTAGGCCTCTAGTGACACCCAACCCCACCTCTGTCTCTCGACCTCCCCACCATACCCTCCTCTGCTTCTGGGCCACTGTTTAAGGAGCGGTAGGGGCAGGGTAGTTACATAAGGGCAGACGTGTTGATTGGAAGAGTTCCTACAGGGGGTTTGTACTTTAATTTTGTATGCTGTTTTAGAGACCACTGATATTATAGGTTATTTACTAAGTAACATAGGCAAAATTTAAAACTCCTAATAAGGGCCTAGTATCTGTATACGTCCTACTAAACATGTAGCTCACACCACGAATCAGACGTTAACTTTTAAAAAATCTGATACTATATGAAACAGTTTTTACTCAAATCATGCACCAGGCTTATCTGAAAACTTACATTGCTTTGTCTGCAAATCGTTTTATAATCAGGTCCATTTGAACTTGGACCTAAATAGGTCCAAGATTTGAAGAAAACAGAAAAGTAAAAAAGGTTAAAGAGTATATTTGCGAATTCTAATTTTTTTAAATCTCTGGTGACAGAAAGTGATAAATCTAGCTTTTGGTGTAAATCATGGAAAATTTTAAAATTCGTGCCTTGTCAGTAAGGGGAAATTTTCGTATTCAGCTTTCAGCCGTTACAGTAACGAAATATTCCAAAATAACAACCCTTTTGGGCAATATTTGCACGTTATTAACAATAACAAAAATTAAACTGCGCTAAAGGGGTATTACGAGATGCACGTTTATGGTACTGATACATCTTTTCCTAAACCTCAAGTAGCCCTGTATATTGTTTCGCATTGCCTGGTAGTTTTGTAAATTACATTCGAAGAGAATGCTGTTTTGCCATGTTTTGTGTAATAAAAATTAACTGTGTCCTGTCACCATATCGTCTAGATAATCATGGGCGTACTGTAACTGAATTGAAGATTTTATTAATGGCTAAAATATCACAAAAACATCAAAAAAAAAAAAAAANTGGGCAATATTTGCACGTTATTAATAATAACAAAAATTAAACTGCGCTAAAGGGGTATTACGAGATGCACGTTTATGGTATTGACACGTCTTTTCCTAAACCTCAAGTAGCCCTATATATTGTTTCACAAATGCCTGGTAACGAAAGTTTTGTAAATTACATTCTAAGAGAATGCTGTTTTGCCATGTTTTGTGTAACAAAAATTAACTGTGTCCTGTCACCATATCGTCTAGATAATCATGGACGTACTGTAACTGAATTGAAGATTTTATTAATGGCTAAAATATCACAAAAACATAAAAAAAATGGTGACCGTTGCCAAAAGACGTAATGAAGGTTTTTTTCAATTTTTAAAAACCCGGCGGCACTCTGAAAGTAGACGCAAGCTATTCATTGACTTATTTAAAATGAACATTTTAGACATCATACTCACTTCCTGAAAAATTGCAGATTTTCTACCAAAATAAACTAGATCGATTAGAGAATGTGAGATGGTGCTGTGGGCGACAGTAACAAAGGTATGAAATGTAGTCCGTTTATGTTTTTTGTGTGAAAACATATAAATCTAGTATTTATTTATTTATTTATTTATTTATTTATTTATTTTTCTGAAGTTGCCAGACTGATACTAGTAAAGTTCCACTTGGACATAGGCCCTACAATAGGCTATTCTTCAACTCACTTACTTTTTTAATTTTTTTTTATAATTAAAATAATAAAAGAGACAGCACCCGAAAAGAGAGTTTAATGTAGGGTTCGGTTTCATCAAGGACTGGATAGCGCTATCCAGCCTTGATGAAACCAGGCCCCAGACTCTTACTCAACGTAGACTCTTACCCCCCCCC